TTCAAATAGGTAGTAACCCTTATGAAAAACTCGATTTTTCTATTTTTTAGTTTTGCTCAATTTTGACTTTACCAATCGATAGAGCGGGTCCAAATAAGTGAAGAACAATTCTGACATAATGTCCAAATGGTCATTTTAAGCTGAAAAAAAATTAAAGAGGAAATCCTATTTTTGGCTCTGGAAAATTTTCAAAATCTTGACATGGTCATGAGCAATGGCCCATATCTCTGTTAAATTTTGAGCAAGTTGAAATAAGTTATATATTATTGGAAAGGGGAATAAATTATCTATAAACTCGTGCAAAATTGAGTTTAATAGCTCGAATAGTTCTTGAGTAATTGAGCTTCAAATTTGACTTTTAGTCTAAATTTTGTCAAAAACTTCGAACTGAATTTTCTCAAAAACCATAAGCCTGGAAATATTGTAAATTACAGAGTTTTTAGAGTTTATTGAGAGCTACAAATGTTAAAAATTTCAATGAAATTTGGTCAATCGATTTTTTTTTTCAGTTTTAATTTCGAGTCTACCATTTGATAAAGTGGGTCGAAATTAGTGGAAAACAACACTGGTATCATTCCCAAATAGCCATTTTAAGCAGACACAAAAAAAAAAAAAAATTTTGGCTCCAGAAAATTTTCAAAATCTTGACATGGTCATGAACAAATTGCACATGTCTTTATTAAATTTCAAGCAAATTGAAATAAATTATACACCACTGGAACGAGCATTAAATTCTTTATAAAGCTGTGCAAAATTGAATACATTAGGTTAAATAGTTTTTGAGCAATTGAGCCTCAAAGTTGACTGTTAGTCCGAATTTTAACTTCAAACTCAATTTGCTCAAAAACTATAAACCTAGGAATATTGTGAATTACAGACCATTGCAATTTGACCAATGGTTACCGAGCAATTAAGGCTTGAAGATTTTGGAATTAAAATTCAAAGGGGTATCCTGAGCAACAAACTAGGCACCCCATAAATTATTTCATTTTTGGTTTTTATTCAATATTCTAGAGACATTCCTTGTATAGTGACATTAATATACTGTCAAATTTTTGAAATTTTACTGTGACTGGGTTCGGTAATACGTTCCATTAGTGCTGACGTCACATGTTGATATTCGCCATGATGGCTGTATCCAAAGAAACTTCAGGTCAATTTGCAATTTATTACAATATTTTTTCATAACTTTACTTTTATTATCTGGCTTTGTTTTATAGAATAATGGATGCAACAATTACAAATCAAGAGATAGGTGTAAATTGAACCAGATTGAAAGTTTGTTTAGATACAGGCTGCCAGTTTATGACGTCACTTTAATGGAGCGCGAGCAAAATGAACAAAAATTGACAGATTTCACGTAATTCAACACGTGAAAAAAGATAAGTGATCACGTGACGTCCGTCAAAATTTCAAACAGATGACGTCACCAAGTGGTTCTTATGGAGATTTGCCTTATGTTAAGGCATACAGATGACGTCATAAAAGTAGCAACCAACCTCTCTCAAACAACCTTGATCCAGGATTAAATATGACGGTAATTAGGCACTACGTAACCTCAGTTCCGATTGTGGGACAAACAAAGCGTTTAAGTTTAAGGTCTATTTACTCCATTGAGGTATTGACTCATATCAGTCAGGCGCTAGCTATTACGTCACTTTCGATAAGAGGAGAAACATATAAGGCAATTTCAAGAATCGTATATTGCCGAATCAGCTTTGCCTGCCAGTAGGTACAATGCGAAAACTCTTGTTCGATGTGACGTCAGCTGCAGTTCTTATTGTCCTTATTGACGCGTTTACTGGTAAATGCATAGAAAAGATGGTAAACTTGCAGTGTTTTTATGGATTATTTTTATGAATATCAAATGACACTAAACACAACGATTTCTAGAGTCAAAATGCACTGTCATAATAGAAATTAGCCGGTCGAGGACTGCGACTGACGTCACGTACGATCGATATTTTGGCAAACGCATGTCTTATGGATGGGATTGAGCAATCCTAGAGATTACAATTCTTGGGGCGATTTAAAAATCATTTTGCCCAATTTTTATTCTGCTCAATTTTGATTCACCAATCGATAAAGCGGGTCAAAATTAGTGAAGAACAATCCTGACATGATTTCCAAATGCCCATTTGGAGCTGAAAAAAAAATTAAAAAGGAAATCCTATTTTTGGCTCTAAAAAATTTTCAAAATCTTAACATGGTCATGAGCAATGGCCCATAACTCTGTTAAATTTTGAGCAAGTCGACATAAGTTATATATCATTGGAAAGGAAAATAAATTCTCCATGAACTCGTGCAAAATTGAGCTTAAAAGCTCAAATAGTTTTTGAGTAATTGAGCCTCAAAAGTGACTTTTAGTCTAAATTTTGTCAAAAATTTCAAACTCAATTTTCTCAACAACTATAAATCTGGGAATATTATAAATTACAAAGTTTTTAGATTTTATTAAGAGCTACAAATTCTAAAAATTCCAATGAAATTTGTTCAACGGTTACTGAACGATTGAGGTTTATATATTTTGAAATCAGAATTCAAAGTTGACTTTTGGTCTAAATTTTGTCAAAAACTTCAAACTGAATTATCTAAAAAACTATAAGCCTGGGAATATTGCAAATTACAGAGTTTCTAGAGTTTATTGAGAGCTACAAATGTTAAAAATTTCAATGAAATTTGGTCAACGGTTACTGAGCAATTGAGGTTTGAATATTTTGAAATCAGAATTCAAAGGGGGTACCCTTATGAAAAACTCAAATTTTCTATTTTTCAGTTTTGCTCAATTTTGACTATACCAATCGATAGAGCAGGTCAAAACTAGTGAAAACAATTCTGACATGATTTTCAAATGGCCATTTTAAGCTGAAAAAAAATTAAAAAGAAAATCCTATTTTTGGCTCTGGAAAATTTTCAAAATCTTGACATGGTCATGAGCAATTGCTCATATCTTTGTTAAATTTTGAGCACATTGAAATAAATTATATATCATTGGAAAGGGCAATAAATTCTCTATAAACTCGTGCAAAATTGAGTTCAATAGCTCGAATAGTTTTTGAGTAATTGAGCCTCAAAGTTGACTTTTAGTCTAAATTATGTCAAAAGCTTCAAACTGAATTTTCTCAAAAACTATAAGCCTGGAAATATTGTAAATTACAGAGTTTCTAGAGTTTATTGAGAGCTACAAATGTTAAAAATTTCAATGAAATTTGGTCAACGGTTACTGAGCAATTGAGGTTTGAATATTTTGAAATCAGAATTCAAAGGGGGTACCCTTATGAAAAACTCAAATTTTCTATTTTTTAGTTCTGCTCAATTTTGACTCTACCAATCGATAGAGCGGGCCAAAATTAGTGAAAACAATCCTGACATGATTTCCAAATGGCCATTTTAAGCTGAAAAAAAATTAAAAAGGAAATCCTATTTTTGGCTCTAGAAAATTTTCAAAATCTTGTCATGGTCATGAGCAATGGCACATATTTCTGTTAAATTTTGAGCAAGCTGAAATAAGTTATATATCATTGGAAAGGGCAATAAATTCTCTATAAACTCGTGCAAAATTGAGTTCAATAGCTCGAATAGTTTTTGAGTAATTGAGCCTCAAAGTTGACTTTTAGTCTAAATTATGTCAAAAGCTTCAAACTGAATTTTCTCAAAAATTATAAGCCTAGAAATATTGTAAATTACAGAGTTTCTAGGGTTTATTGAGAGCTACAAATGTTAAAAATTTCAATGAAATTTGGTCAACGGTTACTGACCAATTGAGGTTTGAATATTTTGAAATCAGAATTCAAAGGGGGTACCCTTATGAAAAACTCAAATTTTCTATTTTTTAGTTCTGCTCAATTTTGACTATACCAATCGATAGAGCGGGTCAAAATTAGTGAAAACAATCCTGACATGATTTCCAAATGGCCATTTGAAGCTGAAAAAAAATCCTATTTTTGGCTCTGGAAAATTTTCAAAATCTTGACATGGTCATGAGCAATTGCTCATATCTTTGTTAAATTTTGAGCACATTGAAATAAATTATATATCATTGGAAAGGGCAATAAATTCTCTAAAATTCTGTCAAAAATTTCAAACTGAATTATCTTAAAAACTATAGGCTTGAAAATATTGTAAATTACAGAGTTTTTAGAGTTTATTAGGAGCTACAAATGCTAAAAATAACCCTTATGAAAAACTCGATTTTTTTTTTCAGTTTTGCTCAATTTTGACTTTACCGATATATCGAGTGGGTCAAAAAAAGAGCATTAAATTCTCTAGAAATAAAGGTATGGGTTTGAATATAGTCAAATGGCCTGTACTAATTCAAGATTCGAAAATGTCATATTTTGATATTTGGTAAGATTCGACAACTATCTGTAAAAATGAATTGCAATAATTATTAAGTATTTAAAGAAAATCAAGAAACTTATTTATTATAAGTAGGTATTTAAAATACTTCAACATAATCAAGTAAAAATCTAAGTATTTTAGAATAGATATTGGAAGTACAAGTACAATGCATGTAGGTACTTGAAGTAGAATTTCAAGTAATTTACCTAAAATATTGACAGTTCTGCAATGATCACAGTGACTTGAAACTTTCAAGATTTATGAATTGGAGTTACCTCTTTTTGGAAAAATTAATTTGAAGTTCCAAACTAAATTTGGAAGCTTTTTCTCATATTAATGCATGACAAAAATTCATGAGCCAGGAATAGACAAAAATTGAAACAAAATGAAACCAAATAAAACTTCAAATGCCAATCCTTAATAATCAAAAATCCGAAATGGATCGAACGTGACTTGTAAAACGGACATTTCTCCGTACAAATCGAGGACAATACGTATTTTATAATAACTCAATAATATCTAATAAAGCGAATTCTACCTGTCGTTTTATGGTTAGTTATGGTTGCGCGGTTCCGCCTTGTCGTATACACACACTGGTTCATGACCTGAATACCATTTTATTATGGCTGCTTTTGAATAATAAGACATAATTATTTCAGGTGCTTTCTCAGTCCTAAGCTCGGGCATAAACTTAGGATGGACTTCACCATTTTTACCAGAGCTATTGTCGCCCAATTCCACTATACCGACAACCACCGATGAAGGTTCCTGGTGCGCCGTGGCGCCTTTATTGGGCGCACCACCTGGTGCCATCATAGCAGCAGTTTTAGTGGACAGACTGGGAAGGAAAACCACCACACTTTTGATGGCACCTTGGGTGTCTTTATGCTTTATTGGAATCGCTTTTTCCTACAATATTTGGCAGATTTTTGGTTTGCGGTTTTTTATCGGGAGTGTTGAAGGTGCTTTATACACAGTGTTGCCCATGTATGTGGGAGAAATTTCTGATCCGAAAATCAGAGACTTTTTGTCTTCTACCATTATAATTGCTGGTATTACTGGAACATTATTTATTAATATTATTGGGTCGTTTTTTGATATTTACACTTCAAGCCTTATATGCTCAGTAATACCTTTGATTCACATGTTGATGTTTAGCTTCGTGCCTGAATCCCCTTATTATTTTATTAAAAAAGGGAACCTAGTTGAGGCCAAAAAAAGCTTGCAAATACTAAGAGGCAAATTTGATGTTGATCAAGAATTAGACTCCATAGTCAAAGCAGTAGTGAGGCAAGAAAGAACCAAAAACCAAGCAGGATTGCTGGATATATTTACAATAAAAAGCAATAGAAAGGCTTGCATTATATTTGTAATAGTTTGCATGACAAACAAGTTCTCAGGCAAAAACCCTTGCATGTTCTATACCGAAATGATTTTTAGAGAAGCTGGCAGCAAAATCGACGCTACACTATCAGTAATACTTTACTGTAGCGTTGAACTAGTAGCTGTAGCAATAACAACCTTTTTCATTGTACACAAGTTTGGCAAAAGAAAACTCCTAATAACCTCAGCCCTAGGCTGCTCAATCGCAGTCCTAGTATTAGCAATATTTTTCTTCCTCAAAGATTTCGGCATTGACACCGACGTAGTGTTTTGGTTACCAATCACAGCTCTGGTGTCTTACAATATAATGTTCAGCGTAGGCCTGTCGTTCGGTATGGTGACAGTTTTATGCGAACTATTTCCGACCAACATCAAAGCTAAAGCGTTGTGCATCGCCGACACGTATTCGGTACTAATGGGGGCGATCGTCTCGAAGATTTTTCAAATATCGGTCGATGTAGCTGGTTCAATGTCGTACCCTTTTTTGTTTTTTTCTAGTTGTACTCTGGTGGGGTTTGTTTTGATTGTTAAGTATATGCCGGAGACTAAGGGGAAGAGTTTGGAGGAGATTCAGCAATTGTTGATCGGGCAAGCGCAGTATTCTTCGGAGTTGACTGTTGGACACAATTCGTTTATTTAATAGGGGTTTGTGTTGTGGTGCATTATTTGTGAGACTGAATAAATAAATTGTTTTTGTAGAAATTTAGTGTTTTATTCAGTTTTATAGAGATTTATGTGATAGTTTTGTAAAGGTAAAGCAGCAGAACTACAGAATTAAACCAATACAACTTCAAATCGAATTTGACAGGAAGCTTGGTTTGATTACAGAAAAATGTCAAGAGAATTAGATGGAATTAATTCTGACGCCTGAAAATCAATTTTGTCTGCAAGACAAATCCTCGACACCATCGAGACACCTCAAAGAAACCCAGTGTCTTGGAATCAACTTCAAAGTACGCCCAATCTTCTTGGAGACCAAAATCCGAACTCAGAAGACACAGATTTCAACATATAAAGTTCATTTTTGCTTCAAACCACTCTGAGGTCCTGAAATCATCTCTAATAGAAACTTTTAGTTACTTGTCAGAAGCAAAAATCCACTTCAAAAGAAAGTCAACAGTCAAAGATCAGAATTAAGTATCAGGAGCAAATTTTGGTCTTATGACAAAGACAAGAGTTTTTGCTTCTAGCAACTCTAAGGACTAGAAATCAACTTTAACGGAAGTTAAATGTCCATGGAGACCTTTTGTTCAATAAATCCTAAACAAATCTACTTGGTTCTAAAGTGTTCTGAAACATTCTTAATTGTAAGCTGTTCTAGAACGTTCCACATGTTCCTAAAAACTCTAGAAGGTTCTCGAGATTCCATTAAAATGTTATGTATTTCAACAGAAATTACTCAGAATTTCACTAAAATTTAATTCAATTCTTCGGAATTCCGCCGAAATTTCTTGTGGTTCCATGAAAATTCCACAGAAATTCTGTTTAATTCCAAGGGAACTTTTCGGATTTCATGTAATTTCACTGAAATTCCACAATAAGATTTCAAGGAATTCCATGTATGTAATTCGACGAGAATTCCTTAGAATTTTACTCGACATTTCATCGAAATTTTATGTAAGTCGATACAAAGTGAAATTATATATAATTTGCTGGAAATTCTGGGAATATTTAATTTTTTTTTTTTTTTTTTTCAAAATCCCACTGAAATTCTCCAAAATTCTATAGAAATTCCAAATTCCATAATTTTTAACACTTTACTGAAATTCCCCAAAACTTCACCACCAAATTTTCATAAAATTTTTCGGAATTTCACTGACATTTCTTGTACCTTCTTCCTTCTTAGAAATTTGTCGGAATTTCACTAAAATTTTATGAGAATTTATTGAAATTTCACTGAAATTCCACGTTATTAGTCGAAAATTTCTCGAAATTCTAATGAAACTCAATTTTTTTTTCAAAATTTAATTTATTTCCATAAGAATTTTTCGAAATTTCACTGAAATTCTCTTCTATTAGTCACGAATTTCTGAGCATATAAATGAAACTTCAAGTAGAAAATTCACCGAAATTCTTCCAAAATATATTTAAATTTGATATTATTACATGGGAGTTTTTCCAAATTTCACCGAAATTCCAAGTTTTTAGCCGGAAATTCCTCGGAATTCCACTTGTGAAATTTTCTCTAATTTTACTAAAATTCAGTAATTCGATGGGAATTTTTCGGAATTTCAATGTCACTAAAATGCGATGTTTTTAACTGGGAATTCCTTGAAATAAAAATAAAACTTTATGTAATTACATTAGGATTTTTCGGAATTTCACTGGTATTCCTTATGAAATGATAAGAGTTGTTCAAAATTCCACTTAAATTTCATATAATTCCCTAACAATTCCTTGGAATTTCTTGCAATTGCATCAGAGCTCTATATAATTCGACGGAAATTCCTCGGAAATCATGTAATTTGTTGAAACTTTTTTAAAAGCCTTTATGTAATTTAACGAGCACTGAAATTTCATGTTGGGAATTTCAGTGTAATTCAATGTAATTGTTTAGAATTCCTCCATGCAACTTATTCAGGATTTCATGTAATTCGATTGAAATTCCACTGAAATTTCATGTAATTTCTCGAACTTCCATGTAATTCGAGAGGAACTAAAATTTAATGTGAATTCTATGGAAAAATTTCACACTATGAAATTCAATGGGATTCTTGGAATTTTATTTTCTTCGGAATTACAATCCAAGATTTCATGAAATTCTTCGGAATTCCACTAAAATTTCAAGTTATTCCATGGGAATTCCGCGAAAATTTTAGTCAATTCCATGGAAATACCTTAAAATTTCACCAGAAGATTTTATGGAATTCCTCGAAATTTCATTTGAGTGATAAATTTGAATGGAAAAACGTAAATTCCTAGAAATTTTATTATAAGATTTAATAATACTTTTCCGAATTTCATCATAAGATTCTTTGGAATTCCACCATAAAATTCCTCGAAATTACACTATGAGATTTCATGAAATTCTTCGGAATTCCATTAAAATTTCAAGTTTTTCCATGGGAAATCCGTGAAAATTTTAGTTAATTTCATAGGAATTCCACCAGAAGATTTTATGGAATTCCTCGAAATTCCATTCAAATGGTAGATTTGAATGGAAAAACGGAAATTCCTAAAAATTTTACTACAATATTTCATATTATTTTTCCAAATTTCACCATAATATTTCATGGAAATCCACAATAAAATTGAATGGAATTCTTGAACAAAAATTCCTCGGAATTACACTTTGAAATTTCATGAAATTCTTCGGAATTCCACTAAAATTTCGAGTTATTCCATAGGAATTCCGCAAAAATTTTAAGTAATTCCATAGAAATTCCTTAACGTTTCACTAAAAGATTTTATGGAATTCTTAGACAATTTTTTTTTCGGAATTACAGTATAGGATTTCATGAAATTCCTCGGTATTCCACTAGATTTTCAATGTCAAAATTCCATAAAAATTCCATATTTTTTTTTTCAACCTAACTGAAATTCTTCAAAATTTCATCACTGAAATATTCTGGATTTCCACAAAATTTTCATAAAATTCTTCGGAATTTCTTTGACATTTCAAGGAATTTTCATTTATATTTTCATAAGAATTTTTCGGAATCTCACTAAAATTCTCTTTTAATCGCCAGAAATTTCTGGGAATATTGATGAAACTTCAAGTAATTTCTTGAAAATTCACCGAAATATATTGAAATTTCATGTCATTACATGGGAATTTTTCGGAATATCACCGAAATTCCATGTTTTTAGCCGGAAATTCCTCGGTATTCCACTTATGTCTGGAATTTTCTAGAATTCTACTAAAATTCAGTAAGAACTGAAATTTCATGTTGGGAATTTCGGTGTAATTTCATATAATTGTTCAGAATTCCTCCATGCAATTCATCTAGGATTTTGTGTAATTTGATCAGAATTTCACTAAAATTTCATGTAATTCGAGAGGAACTGAAATTCAATGTGAATTCCATGGAAAGAGGAAAGAGACTTTAACAGATTTTTGGAAATATTTTTAGGGATTTTGAGTAGATCTTATGAGATTTTCTGGGATTTTGACCAACTTGTACACGGATTTTGACCAGTTAACCACTCCTGGATAAATCCTAAACAAATCTACTTGATTCTGAAGTGTTCTGCATGGAACATTCTTAATTGAGAGCTGTTCTAAACCGTTCTACATAATTCTAAAATCTTAAGAAGATTGTTTTTCTCTGAATTGAATGACCTTTCGTAGATCTCAATAGTGTTTCGGCTACCAATAATTCAAATTTCGAAAAACATCCTAAATTACTCTTTTTTCTTGGAACTTTATCGTTGTTTTACTGTTAAAGCCCCTTGTTCAATAAATCCTAAACACACAACTACTTGGTTCTAAGGTGTTCTGGAACATTCCTAATTGTGAGCTGTTCTAGATCGTTCTACATGTTCCTGAAAGTTGTAGAAAGTTGTTTTCTCTAAATTGAATGAGTGGTCGTAGATCTCAATGGTCTTTTGGCTACCAACAATTCAAATTTTGAAAAACACCCTAAATTACTCAATTTCCTTGAAACTTTATCGTCGTTCTACTCTTAGAACCCCTTGTTCAATAAATCTTAAACAAATCTACTTGGTTCTAAAATGTTCTGGAACATTCTAAATTGTGAGCTGTTCTGGAGTGTTCCACATGTTCCTAAAATTTTTAGAAGGTTGTTTTCTCTGAATTGAATGAGTTTTCGTGAATCCTAATGGTGTTTTAACTATCAACAATTCAAGTTTCGAAAAACATCTTGCAATTACTCAATTTCCTTGAAACTTTATCGTCGTTTACTCTCAAAACCCATTGTTCAATAAAACCTAAACAAATCTACTTGGTTCTAGAGTGTTCTGGAACATTCTCAATTGTGAGCTGTTCTAGAGTGTTCCACATGTTCCTAAAAGCTGTAGAAGGTTGTTTTCTCTGAATTGGATGACCTGTCGTAGATCTCAATGATGTTTTGGCTACCAACAATTCAAATTTCGAAAAACATCCTAAATTACACAATTTCCTTGGAGCTTTATCGTCGTTTTACTCTTAAAGTCCCTTGTTCAATAAATCCTAAACAAATCTACTTGGTTCTAAAGTGTTCTGGAACATTCTAAATTGTGGGCTGTTCTGGAGCGTTCCACATGTTCCTAGAAGCTCTAGAAGGTTGTTTTCTCTCAATGGTGTTTTGGCTACCAACAATTTAAATTTCGAAAACATCCTGAATAACGTCGTTTTACTCCTTAAATCCCTTGTTCAATAAATCCTGAACAAATTACTTGGTTCTTAAGTGTTCTAGAACATTCTGAATTGTGAGCTATTCTAGAGTGTTCATGTTCTAGAGTGTTCCACATGTTCCTAAATTAGTGACCCTATTACGGATGAATGTATGCTCATTTGCATCCTTTATCTTTTCCAAAGATTTTCTTTTCTCTTTACACCATTCAAATAAACTTCTCTCTAATGGATAGATTGACAATGGTGGATTTATACTAGCAACATTTTAAAAGAGTAACATTGAAAAATTGATGAATCGAGTGATTATTCCCGGCTCTTGATTCGAATCAAGAGCTGGGAATAATCAAAAATTGAACATTGAATAAGATCAGTCAATAGAATCAATGTTGTCAGTCAAAAGTCAAATGTTCTAA